CAGACATGGCCGCGTGCGCCTGTGTGTATGCTAGCGCGTGACAGGCTTCGTCATGTTTTACGGTTCCACGCGCCTGCTACAGACATGCAACAGACGACCTGTTATTACTTTTTCATATTCGCCTCTACCCATCGGACACGCCTTCTAGACAAATGTTAGCACACTTTTTTTATTTTCATTTGTCTCGCACTTCCCCTGCTTTGCACAGCAATTTTTATTGTTGCTGCTGCAAAAATCGATTTGGCAATATTTTGTTGTGAAAACTTTCACCGCTTAAGGGTAAAAGTTTTATTGGCATACTTTTTGGCGCATTGCCTGGTAAGTGAATTTCAATAAATCACGCACATCGATTTAGTTAAACGACCAGTCGGCGCACAAAACAAGCTTTGCAAACTGTTTACCGCAACAAAATTGCTTTAGTCCAAGACACAACAACTACGAGATGGCAGAAGAGGTTGAAGACTCTGCGCAGCACATAGTGCGCTCGGAATGTTGCGAACCCTCAACGCTTATTAATTATTTGTAAATTCCACTTGTGATATATTGTGACCGCACTCAACGCAAACAATGCATAGTATAAGGCGCACCAAAAGTATGAGTGTTTGTGTGTGTTGTATATTGCATGTTATGCCGTTATTTTCGTACCGTTATTACCGCAACGAAATGTGCGCCGTTATTCAAACTACTTGTGCGAACATGAGGCGAATGCAATTGTAACTGCGTCGTGGCAATTAGAAGTTGACACGCGCTTTTGCGCCTAATGTAGGTTATGAAAAACTATTTTGACATACATACATACGTACTTTTTTGCAATCATTGCAGTGGCGAAAAGTGTAAGTGAAAATAAAAATTCCTCTCGGAGTAAAAAAAAATTTGATTACCATAATTTGACTGCCTAACTACAGGCGCAGCGAAGTCCTTTTTGGCGGGTTGTAGCGCAGTTAGCCATGTTTTTATTGGTTGGCTTAAGCAACACGCTATTAAGCTCACGTAGAACTTTCAAATTACTGGAATTTAAGTCAAATTGATTTGTGCTGGTATTTGGTACATGCTTTTGGGCGCAGAGAGAATTCACAATAGTAGAGATATTTTTTACATTATTTGAAATTTAAAATTTGTATCCCAAGAAAAATGTAAAAGCTTAAGCTACGAATGTGGGAGTAAGAAAATGAATGAAGAATATGTTCAAAAACGACATTGGTGCATATGCTTTGGATATCTAAACTTTCATGACAGGGATATTAAGTAACTAAACTAATTTTACCCACAGGTAACAAATGAGGTACTTCCAGTAACCACCATATTTACCAGATTTGGCCAAGTGTTTGTTTTTAAACTACAGGAGAAGCTTGATCGTTTAATGGAGAAAGAAGACAATGACTCTGATATTTTTTTTTCAATACTGCTGTACATACTGTAATACTGTTGTCATAGCAACGGTATGTGCTACTTGCGGGTCACTAAAAACCCGACCTGTATGGAACCGTTGCCCACCTTCGAAAAACTTTTATTTCAGGATGTCGTTCYATTTTCCTCAATCAGAGATCGTAGCAAACGTAGCATTGCTGCGAATTTCTTGATAATTCTCCAACTTGCTTCATTCTCCAGCTGAGAAAATTGTCCGCGTTTATTRGGCCAACCATTTCTTCTAYGGCAGTKCGTTCTCGTTGCARTCRCACACATTCAAAGAGTGTGTATTCAGTGCCATCTTCTGCCCCGTAGTTGTATAGGCTTGATAGCTCTTCGACTTTTCGCATTTTGTGGAAGTTCGTGACCTAATAAAAGCTGGGCTGTGTAAAAATCGACTTCTTTAAATTTAGGGGTT